CTAAATACCATTTTTTTTTAAATCTTATTTTGTTAATAACAATTGCAATTTTTTACCTGCACCAAAACCCTTAAAAAACATTTTTCTAGAGGTAATTCCGAATCGAATGAGATATCGCTCATATTTTTAGGACCTTTATCTATATTTTTCATGTTTTTGAACTTGTTGATTATACTATGAATTGATAAGAAAGAGGCAAGCAGTGAAGGAAATAAGATCAAATATTTTCTCATTCGTCACAACTTGTGCAAGAAATAGTTATTTGAAAACTGCCAAATATATGTAAATACGTTTTCCAATATTACGATATAAGTTTATAATGATATAGAAAGAGACTTCACCTTTACAAACGAAGTTTCACACATCTGCCATCACCTATCGAATCCAACACAAACACTGCAACACTCTTCTCGATGCACGTTCCGTCAACCAAGTTGGCGTCATCTGGATCACAATCACTTCACTTAGCGCGTACGAAATTTGTTTCAACCAATCACGATGTTCAATCAATTTGAATAACCCAATCACTGTAAACACTAAGAACATTTCACAAGATTTTAATATTCAATGAAGAATATAATAAATAATAAGTTATATTGAAAACTCTAGGGAAATATCGCATCCCAACAATTTTCGTCATTCACTCGGACTATTTTATTTATTATATATAAATAGTGTAGTAGGCAGCTGTTATCTTGATAAAAAAGAAGATTGAATAGAAGGTATTTGCGTTCAAATAGTCCTTAAGTTGATTTTCCGCGATTTGTTCCAGCAATTCAGATAAATATGGATGAATGATGCAGTTTTTGTGAAATATTCATTACTTAAGTAATTATTATCAGAGACAAAAAATGTGTCATCTGGTAAATCTCTTTCCAGCAAAAATATAGAATATATTTAGGCATAAATATAAATGAAGTTTTAGCATAGTCATGTGGTTGCTGTTAAGTAGTTAGTATCTTCAAATTCTCACTGAATAGATGGAATGTAACCAAACCTCACATTTTCATTTAAATGTTTTTCTTGAAGAGTAGAGGTGCTCGGGTCTGCCTACTGTTGTTACCCTGCGGTAAATTATCGGAGAAGTTCTATGACAAGCTTTGAGAAGTGATTGAAAATATCGAACAGATTTAATGTATGATTGTATTTCATCACTGAAAAAATAACTTTTANCATCGTCTTCGACTTACGTCAGATGAAATTTGAATTACTTCAGAATGAAATTTCTTGTACTACTACAGGGTGGTCTTTCAAATTGATTCGTATTGTTCAGTTCTACTCAATGGTCGCCTTAGAATTCCAAAAGTTGTTCTGACAGTTTGGGTACCGTATGTAGGTATATTCTTGATGTATTCTCTAGGTTCATTTTTTGCCTCATCAATGAATTTTTTCATAGGAATACGTTATAAATGTTTTTTTTTCTTTTTGCTTGTATATGTTGAAATTTAGATATCATATTTTGTGCCAAGTCGTTTCATTTTTTATATAGTCCGGAAATATAAAATGTCGTTTTTCCGTTTATAATCGTTTTGAGAGTTTTTCTAATTCATGGGCGTATTGCATTTTCCTCGTGACTTGACATTCCAATAATCTTGATTCCAGTACTAGTTTGTAAAGATCCATTATTAGATGTTTCTCATATTCTTCTGGTCTTTGTTATGGCTACCCATGAATTTTTTGCGTCTCCCATGATCCAAAGTGTAACATTTACATAAGCCAACAGCCCCATTTTGTACAGCTGTCCTCTAATTTGACATCCACTGAGAAGCCCAGTGGACATCTAGTGATCATTCTGAGATCCCTACGCTGTCGAAAGAGTTCTGCGCGTGTTTCGAGATATAATATATCGCATGTATTACTTTTGTTTCGTATTATTGATCCATTTCTTGATCCGGTTTCCTACTTACTCCCGCATAGTTGGTTCAGGTCTTTATACAAAGTTGATGATCAATATCTGGTTCATTCGTTTACTGTATTCCCGATTGTTGCGACCCTCAGCATAGACAATTTGTTGAGTTATGATGTTGTGATTATTAAATTGGTAATTGGAGTTGAGGGATTGATGTCTGACTGTTATACGAATACAACTGTTTGTTCTGTATTGCCGTTATTGTAGAAATGACTTTGGCTATATATTCTTTTTCGCATCTGATTTTAACCAAGGTAGTTCTTCATCAAAATTTTTCTTGGAATTACAAATTATGTTTCCTCTGTTCTAGAGACCGTTTGACAAGTAGTGACTGATTAAACAGTTTTATATCAGTAACAACCGCAAAAATATTTTCTATAAATTTGAATTTTCTTAACACGAAGTTTTTTATCGAAATAGTTTTTGGAATTTTGCAATTGTAGTGTGAGAGCGTGGTGTTTGTATTCTTATTCAACTGTCGATACATCTCCGGGGGTGTTTGGCAATGCTTTACTCCAGGAATGTTATCAAATACTAGTATTATGAAATCGCTACAATCAGGGCAGTACCTGGCTACAATAGAAATATTTCGTCGAATTCTGAGTTTCACTAGATCGCATCCTTCCTTGAATATGATTAATAACCGTTAAGTCATGTGACATTAGTCAGAAGTGTATGGAAGCCCGACATTTCAGCTGAAGAAGCTGTTCCAAGACCCGAACCACAATTTCGTCAGCTTTCTTCCTCTGCGCTCGGCGAAAAGGCAAGTTTTTCGAGGTCCTCACAGCGAAATGCTCCAAACAGAGGCATGAACATGAAAAACCACCTTACACTAAGGTCAGTGCGATTAAAAAAAATACTATTTTAGAAACAGCCTCGAAGTTCTGTTGGCGATCGTGTGCGTTCGCGGCATCGGACTGCGTCATTTCGACCTACTAACCTCATTCGAAAACCTCGCGGTACGGCTACGACGGACTTGCCATTGAGTTGCCGGTTGCCGAACGAGGAACACGTTGATAGCGCGCGCGCCATCGTTATTTTATTCTTGAATCTACACTGCTGTCTAGCGAGGAATACATCTAGATAGCGGATTCGAAGGCGACTGGATTTTGTTCGACGAGTTGTGATAGTGTTGTGATACTTTTTAATCGAGTGATTTTAGAAGATATGTTACGTTCGCTAAGGAGTGTTCACTGCTAATAATAATGTTGGAACATAGTGCCATGTATCTGAACGTGACGCCACCGTACGAAGAGGAACCCTCGCTCTTTCCGGACTTTTACAGCACACGGTGGGTTCCTTCTTGCTACAGTGTCTATGCGTGTGAGTGTGTGGGGTCTTTGAATTTTGTCGTCGGTTTGGAACCTTGCCAGCAAACGAATTTTACGCGAGCCTTTCGTTGCTAGACTAAACCCGTTTGTTTCTTCGGAACACAAAACACAATCTCTGCGATTCGACACTCTGCGATTGGTTATTTCGTTTTGCCATTTTATTGTTGTTGTTGGACTTTTTACTACGCCTGTATTGCTGCAACAAAGACCACTTTTTGCTCTCGAGGTTGCTACTGAGATTTTTCACTACGAATAGCCGAATTTTAAGGTTTTCTATTAGCTGACGATTGGATTTGTTGGTGCTAATAGTGTTTGTTGCTGATGGATAACGACTATTCACTTTATTATTTGAATGTTGGTTTTTCCGAAGAGATGGGTAATGTTGGATATTGAATCATTAGATTGCAGAGTATCAAACGCATGTCATGTAGATTTTATTTGGATTTAGATGGTTTTTGGCTTTTGAAGAAATGGAATGTTATTCTCAAGACTTTTCTCTAATAACAAATTTGTGATGTATTAACAAAAGAAATGTATTTTATGTAATTTTTGGTTTAAAATGACACAATATAGAAAAGGAAATATTACTGAAAGTAGAGGCAAACATACCTATTTTCATTTTGAAAAATAGTTTTGAATAATCTCTTGATACTGAAATGAAAACTAGTACTTTGTTATATAATATGCGAGTATTGGGAGGACTAAAATGCATGATCTGAGTCGAAAATTGGTTATTTTAGCTTGAGCGTTGATAGCATGATCGATCTCACATGTTGATTTTATTAATTTTTTTCAATTCAAATTATTGTCAGTTGTGAGATATCATTTCAACTTTTACATGTGCGAATCGAATAGCCGCTTATACAAGACAGACAAATGCAACTAAGGCAAAAAGTAACGAACAATAGCCTTTTTGAAAACATAAAAAATTGATTATCCTTTTTCCTATTAATGGAGACGATTATGAATCTTCTCGCGATTTCCTTAAACAGTTCAATTCTTCAGAGAAATAAGGTAAAGGTCAGTTTTCTTCAGTTCAGTTCACTGGAAAAATGTTGGAAAAGTGATAGATTTTAACAACATAAATTTGAAATTAAAATATCTTTCTCAATAAATTCTATGGGTTCGAAACAAAAAATAAATGAGGTAATTTCTTATCAGACACACTTCTTCCTTGGAATATGTACTCTAATATTTACATAGTCATAAAATTGCTCATTTCTGTGTAATGTTTAAAAAAATCTGTTTTTCCGTTAATCAGCTGTCGCCCCCATACGAACGACAACTCTCAGAAGTTGAGAAACTTGTGCGAGCTAAGGACTAACGAGGTCTTACCTTTTAACGTGTNGTAATTATTTTTTGAGAGCACTGCATGCTTTGAATAAGTCCAACAACAAGAATAATATTTAGAAATAAATGAAATTATGTGATTGAAAACTAAAGATTAACCTCTGTTTTGCCTTATAAACTGAACATATTTTGCTGCGTCCACTTTTCTTAATGTGGTATTTGGATTCCATTCTAATTACCATGTAATAAAATAAAATCGTAATAATTTGTTAGTCATAAGCTAATTTTGTGTTTTTTCTTTCTAGGTAAGTTGATGTTGCTCGCCATATACTCGGGTTCGGTAAGTTTTTATATTTAAAAATATAATGATACACTGACCTGCAAAAAAGTGGCGAACCTGTTTGAATGATGTGGCTTACAAACCGGTTCATCGATATTATAGTCATTTCATTTCTGATTTATTCAGATACTGATAGATTTTTAGTTAGTTCAAAAAACCTCAATGACTGTGCCAAGAAAAAAATATTTGAAGTTTATTTGAGGAAAGAAAACGAAACAAAAATCCTGCCAGTTTTTAGTATTATTATTCATTGAAGTTTGAATTGTCTCCTCTGCCTTGTAGTACTTGTATTATTCCGAGTATTCAATAGAACTCATATGATCGTTAACTCCCTCGGACATTGTTCTTCTCATTTATACGACGACACACAGATCTAAATCTCTTTCAAACCTGAAGACGTTGATAAGGCTTGTGCACAAGTTAATAAAGACATCAATAATTTTGTTGAAACTGCAACTGATCCATTGTCTAGTTAACAACCCAAAAAAGTCAAATGTTTTGATATTTGGGCCAAAACATGTCAGGGAGAAGATTGAAGACAAAATAAAAATAAAAATACTTGACAAGGACCTGTCCATTGTAGATCAAGCGAAAAGTCTGGGACTTATTCTCGAAAGTAATTTAAGATTCGAAACACACGTGAAAAAACTTATTCAAAAGGCTTATGGAACTCTTAAGATTATTTATGGAAATAGAAATTTTCTTACAAAAGCAACAAAAATAATGTTAT